TAAGGACTGAAAAAGTACACAGAATTCTTAAGTACTACTTTTATTTTTAACTGATTTTTGGGAAACAGAATATGGCTTTTACCTTTAAAAGCCTTAAATCTGTGTACGACTTAAGTCACATTCATCAATAGGGTAATTTAGCTGACTGTAGCAAGGGTTCATTTCACCATGGCTGGATTTGATCCTTTAACAGACATCTGAACATATTACACCTTTTCATTTAACACTTTAATACCGATTTGCTCACACCAAAGATCCATACGTTCCCCTCCACCCACTCTATGCACCACCTCCTGTCTGCTTATACCTGAAATGTGTGTGCGTGTACTCTCCCCAACGCTTGGGAGTATGGATCCTCAAGTATGGATCATCATGTCAAATGCTCCATCTCACGGCAAGGCTCATGCCATGTGCTACAAACCAAAGGACACCCCAGCAATATTCCTTATTCTCTCAATTCCAAGGACTTGCATACCACTTCCCTTCCTTCTGTTCTGAGAGAGAAATCATTCAGCAACGTCGACGTTTGAAATGCTGCGGGGATGATGGGCAGAGCAGGGACGGAGGAGGTGTTGTGCTGGAAGATGTTAAGGGCTGCCACCAGCCAGTCCTTTGATCTAGAAACACTTCCAGACCTGGTTAAAACTGCTGGGTCTGCTAAGCAGATGGCAAGGACTCTCTCTGTTCCCAGCTTCTCCCTCCTGTCTTTTCAACTCCCATTAAAATCAACGAGATTCTGCTCCCTTCAGAATTTGAACATCCCTTCAAATATTTGAATTGTTAAAGTAGAAAAGCCAAACACAGGGAGGCAACGAAATGCTGACAGGTGTACAATCTTGCTTGGCACCGCAGAGGCATCATTCACAATACTCCCTCTCCTCTCGTTTGCCAATATAAATCCAAAGTGACTTCACCAGAAGACAGTAAAATTACACCGGATTAAAATGGGTTCATCTGAGGCCAGAACTACATAATAGTTAGCAGGAAAACCCGGTGACTCTACCAGGAGCAGCATGCTAGCTACTGCTAAATATTTTGGCATTTCTCATGATTTGACATGAAAACAGCTCTGCCTCTGATCTAAGGGTTCTAGTTAGCTGTGTAGCCTCTGCTAGTTCCCAGAATAAAAGAATGTAAAACTGGGACATAACTACTTTATCTTGAGCACGTTCATGCAAGAAAACTACAGCAGCAACTTTTCACAGCCCTAATGAAGTGTTTTGTGTCCAACTGTATGTTCTAACATAGCCATTCTGTTTATTTTATAGGCTTATAATAAAAAATATGACACTTTATGAGCTACATGATAGGATTTCAACAATACCTTGTTGTGACATGATATGGTGTAATTACTTAGCAGGAGATACTACAATTTATTGTTCTGTCATTGTGTCATACCCTTCAGGGCTTCAGATTGGTGTCTTCGTTTGCTTCCTTAAAGCCATACGGACTAGCAAGGTAAGTCAAGGGATGCATTAAAACATCCCAGGAATAAAGACATAAACCGAACGTGAGCCCGCACACAGCACCATGTTTAAAAACACTTCCCCGATCCTTTCCCCTTCCCTCTTTGTTTTGCTTTTTCAGCATTATTGACGGGGTTAATAATAACCAGAGAGAACAGAAATTTCAACCCAAGCGTGCAAGATACAGGTATGTTACATGAGGGTCCTATTCAGGCAGTTAAATACCCGGACTGATCCTGCGGAGCCGCAGATGCTCAGCACCTACCACTGACTTTACCCACGAGACAAAGCCTGTGATCCGAGTCCCACAGGGTGACCTCTCCATCCACAAGAAGCATCGCTGGCTTTTCATCCCTCCGCACAGTTTGCACTGCAGGACAAGGGCCTTGCCAAGCACAGCATTTGCCTCTTCCTTGGCGTCATTTTTAGGTACCATATATCAATGGGGAGAGGACGTGATTTTATATGGCACACTAGAACAACTGTAAGCAGAACACAGTGAATTAGTGCAGCACCTTCCCCTAACCGATGGAGTCAAGACACTAAGCCAGGATATGTATTTGTTTTTTAAAAGCACTGCTCCGAGTTGCAGTGCCTCGGTCTATCCGTGGGTACGGAGATAAGCGGCTCCCGTTTCACAGGCGGTACGCGCC